TAAAGAGTGAAGACAGCAGAGAGTATACAGAGCCGCCAGGTAGTCTGGCAGCCATATATCGACGCTAGTGATGGCTAGTGATCCAGCTTCAGGAACATCAGTTGGCTCGGATGTGCTCACATATGAGCGTTTTGGCTTGCCAACTCCACTGAGCCTTCTAACTGCGCTGTCTTCTTTCATGCTCCAAGGACAGGAAGTTGCTACGGACATCCAACCAACTTAGAGCTTTTTCTTGGCCCATCAGCCAAACTACAACCTCGTGCCTCTGCTCTTCTTGTATACCATTCTTTATCAGTTTCTCTTATGCCTGATGCATGTAGAGGACAGATGAGTAAACTGCTAGATGATTTAAACAATTACTGGCAATGGCTATTTAATTTCTATAAATGGTAGATGACGAAAATCAAGCTCCTTTAAGCTGTGAGGCATACGAGTGGTTTGTGGGACGGATATGGATGGCGTCATTGACATGTTTACAGATTACAATATCATGAATTGTTCGTATGTGCGTTATGTCAAAAAATGCAACACTCCTTTAAGACCAGGATCTGGTCTTCGATGAGCCATACCTTAAAAGGTTTCAGTGGCAGATAGAATTTTTTGGCAGCATTTCTGCTGTCCATTTTCGCTTTTGTGACAGGGAGAGCTAAGATTCCTTAATTTTGATGCCATGCTCTAAGTACTGGTTGGAGGTAACGGTTAAGTTCGGCTCGGGATTGTGGCTATTTGATTTTGAATATTGCCGTCTGCTATCGTATTAAACTTGCTGATAAGCATAGTAAACTGTTGTATGGGGTACTTTTGTACTATATGTAGTACTCATTGGAAATTCAAAGCCAGTGTTTGTTCTCTTGTTCAAACTAAAAAGTTTGCTGTTCAGATTAAAAAAGCTTGTTTTAAACTCTCATTTGTAATAGAAACTGGTTTTGTTGAGTTTTATTTTTGCATATTTTTATGTTATTTTTTACTCTGTGGCTTTTCAGGGTATTCGGATTCCCAGAGGCATCTTCAGCTATTCACTGGACGTATTATCGAAAATGGAATCTGCGCTACGTTTAACGTTGACGACTTTGAACTGAAGGTACGCACACATTAAAATCTGTGTTTCTCAGGCAAGGACCATCGCTCAGAACCAGAACATACGGTGCGGTATAATACCTCTTTCGGTCTATGTTTTGAACGAGGGGTGATAAATGATTATTTGATACACATTTTTTTTCTGGGCATTCCATATGAGTTACGATACTCCGGGTTGCACCAAGCTGACCCTCCTCTAAGACTTCAAACTTAAGCATGAGATATTTGTGGCGTATTGGCACGGTGCCTAAAAGGCCTGCGCCAAACGCCGGAGGTGCCGGGTTCGATTTCACTCGAAAGCAGTGTTTGTCCTCTTGAGCCTGAAATTTACCACCGATTGCTTCAGTCCTGAGTTGCTCAGCCTGTAGAGTGTGGAATCGTCAACCGATGTCCTGAGTTCAAGCATTGGTTTGTGAAAATCGCCCTTCTTCCTTTCGAGGTTCATAGAGAAGTACCACTCTGTGGAAAGGAAACACGTTAAGATCACCACTTGGCTGTAAACTCTCCCTTAAAAATAAGGCCGATGGCATTAAACCGGAGATCAACGTCGTGCCGTGATCTTCATGAAAAGAAGGGCGACAAAAAGGTTCCTATAATTTAAGTGAAAGCGGGCCAACATTCCGATGGTTGTAAACTTTCCTTTTTTTTTCTTATGAAATATTTGAGGGTACAGCAGAAACCCGTTTTGATTGGGATTAGCCGGTTGTTTATGAATTATGCGCCTATTAACATACAAATATGGTGATAAAAGTTTCTGCAGTGTTTACAGCTCATCCGTCGTCACATTCTAATCTGTTATTTTGCATTGTTCAGCTCCGAAGAATTGCTGAGTAATTCACTTCTTCAGCAAGGGTGATGATGACCAGCTCTTTATTGCTGTTTTGTTATCAATTATTTTATTCATAATTATATTTACAGCTAAATAGTGATTATGGGAGAGAACTTAAAAAGCACGACAGTGGTTATAATACTAAATATAAGGCTACAAATCAAATAAAAAATATGTATTGACATTTTGAGTCATGCGCTGAATATAAACATGTGATTGGTCCATGATACCCATCCAAAGTGTAGTGCTGTAAGCATTACAGTCTCTTTCTGTGTTCGACTCTAGCGTTTTAGTATACGCTCAATTAAACATTCCGTGTCGAAAGGACCGGCCGGATTTGTTGTCCCTGGTCGACAAATGCGCACAGAGAACGGTGCCTCTAACTCTACTGTGACGCGACAGCTCTGAAAGCCAAAGGCAAGCTCTCATAGGTAACACTTCTGTCACCGTAACTTGACCCATTTGTCTGGCCATAGGCTGCAGTGACATTAAGCATCGGCTGTTTGACATGCACGCCATGGACTGGGGTTCTTTCCAACTCATGCAACTGAAATGACCGTCAGTCTTGCCCTAGCGGATACACGGATGCACCTACCAACACGGCATAATCTGCTGTTCTCTGACCACTAAAATGTGACATGCCAAGCATTCTTTTCCCATAGCGGCAAGCTTCCCTGATGGTTAGCACGTCAGACATCATCCAGCTCACCTCCGCCAGACACGGAACGATCGTTCCAACATGTAGCACAAACGGAACCGATTTCTAAGGGCAATGCAGGTACTAAAATAAACAAACTGTAATACGAATCGGAGTACTGTATTGAGTAATGCGATTCTGAATGCTATTCCTAGTGAAAGTACTGTAATGCAAACCTGAGTAAACGGCGGTGGCAGTTAATATCGATTCGTTTTCTGCTTAGATGACAATTAATGATTCCCGTTTCTTGATCCACAGTTCTAAGCAACGGTTAAAAAATGATGGTGTGACTTGTTTTACTCGTCAGTGTTCTCATCAGGGTCATATTACAGAAACAAATGTTCACAAAATTAATAAAATGAGTTTTACCTGACAATAGCGTTTATTCCATTGT